CGAATTGCGTATGTTTCGTCTTTTTCGTTCATGTTCAATATGGTTACATACTATCCCGGCCCAGCCAATGTTGCCCCCGCCCGCCATTCTTTACAACAGGCGCCATGCGCGCACATCTGCTTATTCAGAAACAACATTTCCCAAATATCACCTTCAAAAAATATGACGAAGTGCGCACGCGCGCATGCCGAAATCTTTGAGGTAATGTACGAGTCGTAAGGACTTCAGAATCAGATGATCCGGAAACAGTAAAACATACAATAACAAAACACGGTTTTGTATTTTGAGTTTCCCAAATTATAATTTGTGCGCGGTCGTTCTTGCGAATTCTTCGTGCAACCATTGGTTACCAACGTGCTCATGGAATGCGACCACACGGGCCCCTTGGGCGCGCATGTCGGAATCATTCGAACGCCATCGCGCGCGCGCGACAGGGGGGGACGCGATCTTCGTCGAATGTTACCATGCGGACTATTTGCGCCCGTCGGCCGCGCGCGCATATTGAAACTCTTTCAAAACATGCATTGCGGACACGTGGACACCATCATCGTCACTGCCGCGATCAGCATCGGCTCCGTCATTGGCCTTGCCGTCGTCATCGTCATCGTTGCCAACAAATTTACTACCATTATCGTGTTTGCCGTCGCCGGCGTCGCCATGACACCGCGCCCGTCCGAGCCACCGACTCTCACAGAACTGCCCGCGCGCCAGCGCGGTCTGCAAGACGCGCTGGGAAGTGCCCGCCGGTCAGCGCCACCGCGGCCGCGTCGGTCGCGCCTGACTGCCTTGCCGTTTTGCGGGCGAGCCTGCGCGCGGTAGCGTGGCCGCAGCGCCCAGCCAGCGAAACCCTAATCATCGCAATCGCCGCCGCATGGCTTTGCAAATCGAGTTGTTGGTGGGTTTGGAGAATTGCGCGAACAGTGGAGTGGACAACTAAGTGCGCACAGTGAGCACCGCGAGCTCATATCCTAGCATTCTTGTGCTGCCTTTCTCTTCCGATCACTGTGATTCATTAGACATTTCATGTTCCACGTTGCGCCCGCGGGCGCTGTTGCATCATGGTTTCTCTCCCTGCTGCTGCTGCCGCCGCTCGCGTCGTCGTCGTTGCTGGGGTGTGGCAGGGAAAACGTATGTATGCGAGTATTCTGGGGCGGCAGCTGCACCGCCGTCGTTCGCCCTTCCCCTCCTCCCCTTCGCCCTCCCCCCTCCGAGACGGGTGCAGCGCCGGCTTCGGTTCGCCCCTGCGCGGCCGCTGACAGACCTGTCGGATCCGGCATTCCCAGGTGGCCCGCTGACGGGGCGCCCGTGCGGCCGACCCCTGTCGCTCCTCCCAGGCCGGGAGGTGCGTGGGAGCCGCGGGTGCATTCGTGAAGTGCTGTCATATAGCGCACTTCCTCCAGAACTCCAGCAGAGAGGCGGATGCGAACGCTGTTTAGATACCGCGTGCAGACATTCGTTTTGGAGTTCCTTGCGAGGCGTGTGAGTGAGTGAGTGAAGTGCGTACAGTGACTGACGCACGACAAACATTTCACCGCGTAAATTGCACCATATGCATGTTTTAACAGATTGTAGGACTACCACCACCAGCCCGGGATGACCTGTCTCCTTTCGGGGATGCGTGCGTTCAACATTTTTCATTCCTATTCTGAACGCGTATGATCCCAGCCAACCAGGCTCGACATCCCCCCCGCCATCTGAGTCAAATGATACCATGCGCGCGCATTCGCTTCTCATAAGTCAGTTGTTTCCAGAATTCCATGCGACAGATTAGACGACGTGCGCACGCTCGCGTTGTCGCTCGCGCATGTTGATATTCAATATCAACCGTCCGATCCGTAAGGATGTCAAAACCGATAGCCCAGAAAACATATGAAAACACATAACACGCCAAATTTTGTAATATGGGATTTAAGAAAAGGTCTGCGCGTGCTCTTGCGAAGTTTTGCAGCGTCAATTTGTCCTCAACATGTTCGTGATATTCGACCAAACGGGCCCCTCGGGCGCACATGTCCGAATCATTGGAAGGCCCTCGCGCGCAAGCCAGGGGGGCACGATCCCTGTCAGATAATTCCATGCGGGCCATCCGCGCCCGTCGGCCGCGCGCGCATGTCAAAATTTGTTCTGGCACATTCATCGCGGACGCCTGGACACCATCATCATCAGTGCCATTATCAGCATCGGCATCGTCATTGGCCTTGCCGTCGTCATCGTTACCATGGCCATCACAATTTCTCTCATCATCGTGTTTGCCGTTGTCGATGTCGCCATGAAGCCGCGCCCCCGCGGCACCGACCCGCATCGGAGCTCCCGCGCGCCAGTGCGGTCTGCGAGGCGCGCTGGGAAACGCCCAGCGGTCAGCGCCACCGCGGCCGCGTCGGCCGCGCCAGACCAGCTGGCCGCTCTGCGCGCGAGGTACTCGCGAGCGTTAGCGCGGCCGCAGCGGTGCGCCAGCCGGCACCACGCAGTCATTGCAATCGCCGCCGCATGGTTTTGCAAGCCAAGTTGTGGATGGGCGGGTAGGATGATTGCGCGAACAGTGGATTGATAGCTCATTGACTCCACCACGTATAGACCACCACCACCACCCCGGGATGACCAGTCCCTCTTTGGGGATGTGTGTTTTCTAAACATTTCAGTCGAACGCTGGCCACCCCAGCAAAACCGGTTCCGACCCCACCCGTCATGTGAGTCATATGATACCATGTGCCCGCATGCGTGTATCAAAAGGCAGCGTGACCAATAATCTTTTGCAGCGTTTGCGTTAAAGTACACGCGTTCGCGTTGTTGTGCGCGGGTGTCGGAATTCAACATCAAGTTTCCGACCCGCAAGGGTGTCGACATCGACTGTACCACATCAACTTACGACACACAGCTTCATCCAGTCTTAGATTCTGGAAAAAGACTGCGTGAACGTTCTTGTGATGAGTTCAAGAAACAAACATTCGCTTTCAACGTGTTCATGACATGTGACCAAAAGGTTTTTTGTTCGCGCGCGCGTGTCGACATTGGTCGAACGTCCTTGCGCGCGTGTTGTGTGTGTGTGTGTGTGGGGGGGCGCGATCGCTGTCGGATAACAACATGTGGGCCACTCGCGCCGTTGGTCGTGCCCGCATGTCGGAAAGCTTCCAACATTTTCATCACCGGCGTGTGGACACCATCGTCATCTGCGTGATCATCATCGGCGCCGTCATTGGCCTTGCCGTCGTCGTCGTCATCGCCGTCACCAGCATCGCTACGGTCATCATACTGTCAGCCGTTGTCGACATCACCATATTTTCGCGCCTGCCCGAGTCACCGACTCTCATTGAAGTGCCCGCGCGTCAGTGCGGTCTGAAAGACGTGTTGGGAAACGCCCAGCAGTCAGCGCCATCGCGGCCGCGCCGGTCGCGCCAGACCAGCTGGCCGCTCTGCGCGCGAGGTACTCGCGAGCGTTAGCGCGGCCGCAGCGGTGCGCCAGCCGGCACCACGCAGTCATCGCAATCGCCGCCGCATGGGTTTTGCAAGCCAAATTGCGGATGTGTGGGTAGGATGATTGAACGAGCAGTGGAGTTCACAACCTGCGAACAAACATGTTATGCACAACAGACAGTGCACCACGTATGCTAGAACACCTTTTTCGGGGTCCACGCTGGCTAACATGTTTTTTCCATAGCAGTGTTTTGGCAGAGGTTCCTATTATGGGTGCGCGAAGACCATAGGGGAGTCCCACAAGGGGGGACGTGGAGTCTTAGACCGCCCAGTGCGGCAGCCGTTTTGCTTGAGACTTTTTTTGGCGATGTGTTCAGGAATCGTGGTCTCGCCTCTATGTCGGCTAAATTTTGGGCCCTGGCGGCCACGATCGATCGGAATAGATACACTAGGGTGCACACGGCCATACTTTCACCGTTGTCCCAGCTGCATATTTTCTTTTTGTCGGGGCCTCCTCGACCCGCCTTTTCGCCCTTGCTGCTATTTGGGTGTTTTCTTGGGGCCAGCCTTGTAGCAGTACCACTCTTCTTCGATGCTGGTCCCTGTCAGCTCGCGCGCCTGCCGTTCGCATTGCAGGCCAAGGACAACAACAACAACACAACAAACGACACCCCGCCGTCTCCAGCAGGCTCCCCCTCCCGCGGCCTCCGCCAGCTGGACGTTTTTTTGAATCCTCGCCCCCGAAGGCCTTCAGAGGCTCCTTGAGCGCCGCAGATTTCGACCCCCAGTCCTCATCGATCCACGATCCTCGTCGATACTGTACATGGACAGAAGTCCGAGCCCTGCGGCGCAAGATGCGCCCCCCTCCCCCCGGACAACCCCAATTGGTATTCATGACGCGGTGTTGGAGGGGCCTGAGTGGACAAACGTAGTCGAGCTCGAACCCGAAAGTCGTCGCCCATCCTGAAGCCAACATTGCCTTCGGGGACAAGGGGGTGATTCGCGTCTCCCGCAAATCTGTCAGGGAACGGATAGATTGTCCGTCTAGGCCTCCTAGATGGGGTCGGAGTAGATGAGGGCGGAGGATCGGGACGCATCGCCGATACATCGGCGATGCATCGGCGATGCATCGTCGATGGATCGTTGATGCACCGGCGATGCATCGTCGACGTCGGCGATGCATCGGCGACGTCGGCGATGCATCGGCGATGCATCGTCGATGGATCGTTGATGCACCGGCGATGCATCGTCGACGTCGGCGATGCATCGGCGACGTCGGCGATGCGAGCAGCTCGGGCCCCACATCGAGCCGCGCTTGCGATGTATCGACGATGCGGCGCGGCCCTCCGACCCCATACAGATCGACCCCATCCGGGAGGCCCACGGTCGGCCCCGATTAGTAGGTCGACCCTGCCAGCTCAAGGGTACCCTCGCGTCCCGTGTCTCGCGACCCGTGCCTCCTACATCCCTGTGGCGGCGTGGCCTTCGGAGGGGGCTTGTGTCCTCTCGCGTGTCCTGTCCAATCGAGTCCGACTGCAGTCCTCCCTCTGCGCGCCGCCGCTCTCGCTGTCGGGATCGCTCGGGCGCTCGAGGTCACTGCTGAGCGGGCTCCTCGCCGAGCACCGCGCGGCCCTCTCCGCGGGCGGCGGCCGCCCCAGCGCGCTCGGTGGGCCTCCCTGCCTCCTCCGCCGGGAGGCCTGCACGGCGCCCTCGGGGCAGGCGCGGAGACTCCAGAGGAGGACTAGGAGGAGGAGGAGGAGGAGGAGGAGGAGGAGGAGGAGGAGGAGGAGGAGGAGGAGGAGGGGAGGGGGAGGAGGAGGAGGAGGAGGAGGGAGGAGGAGGAGGAGGAGGAGGAGGAGGAGGAGGAGGGGCGCAACAAGCACTGTTCTTCATGTCTGATCAGCTCCAAAAACAGGATGATGAGGAGGAAGAGGAGGAGGAAGAGAAGGAGGAGGCGGATGAGGAGCACATCCGCTGGTAGCGTGAGAGCTGCTGGTGTTTTATTTGTCCAGCCATGCAGACGCGCTCAAGGCGCGAGTACCATCAGAGACAGTCCAGGGCCACCGATCTTAAGCGCACTTGCAGCACCACTGCGCGCCGAACAGGTCGATCCCAAGTCGTGGACGCAGAGGAGGGGTAGGAGAAGGAGCAGAGCACAGAACACAGCGTCCCCGGGGCAGACCATTATACCCCAGAGGAGACTTATCATGATGACGATGTTGATAACGATGATAACGATGATGCTGATGATGATTATGAGGTTGTTGCTGCTGATGGCGATGTTGTTGATGATGAATTTGGTGGTGATGATGATGATTGTGATGGTGATGATGAGGAGGAGGATGAGGAGAACGGACCAGTGTAGCCCAAGACTCACCAACGATGTTGGAATACGCCCTCCCTTCAAGCTCCCTCATCAGATGCCCCATACAAGGATCCTTTTCCACAGGAAAGTGCTTCGATGCGGGACAGCCGTGTGAACATCCTGCAGCGTGCTAAACTACCATTCTCCGGATTTCAACACCACGTGTCAACTTGACCGTTGCGTCTTGACGATCTTGAACCGTGCCCGAACACCATTCGTGGGACTTCAAAAACGCGAATCACAGTAACTGTTGCGCCCTGACAATCCTGAATCGTTGCGAAACACCGTTTCTGTTGCGTTGATCATGACAGTCAGTTTCATTCGTGCAGAGTTTTCAAGCGAATGTGCGTGGCGATACGGCGAGAGCCACATAATCAAAACAACGAACCGCCCTCAATCCGTGAAGTTCTTGCAACTTTTTGCTACTTTCTGGAAACGGACAGCTGCCCTCAATATGTGAAGCTATTGCCATTGTTCAAAGTGAACGCTCGCGGCGCTAAGGCTAGAGCCACATTTTGAACACGAGCCGCCCTCAATCCGTGAAACGTTTGCACTGTTTCCAACGAGTGTGCGCGGCGCTAAGGCGACAGCGACATTTTGAGAATGATCCGTCCTTAACCCGTGGAGCTCTTCCAACTGTTGCAGATCATTGTGCCCCGCGCTGGGGCAAGAGCAGCAAACCATTCGCCCTCCGTTTGTGGAACTGTTGCCAGCTTTTCAGCTTGAGGCTCATAAGAAGTAAGGAAACCTCAAACGAAACGCCTGGCCCGTCCTTCCGACTGGCTTCGGAGTGCGACAGAGAGGAGTTCTTCATAAGGGAAAGGAAAGGAGGAGTAGGAGAAGGGGGAGGAGGAACTGCCACCCGAAGCAATTGCTCACAGTTTCAAGGTTTCAAGGAGGGGGGAGGAGGAGGAGGAGGAGGAGGAGGAGGAGGAGGAGGAGGAGGAGGAGGAGGAAGAGGAGGAGGAGGACGGCACAGCGTCCCTGGTGCTGACCCAGAGACCCCAGAGGAGTAAAAGGACGAGGAGGAGGAGCGGCGCCAGGGTGAGATCCATCGGGGTCGTCTATCCATGGCTTCGCGCAAGTCGGTCGCGAGCCCGTGGGACCTCGCCCGAGCATCTGGCCGCGAGGGCATGTCAGGCAGGCTCAGGACGAGGACAACTCGCTTCGGAGCCGCCTGGAGCGCTCTCGGAGCGTTCCGGAGCGCTCGGGACGGGCCGCAGCGCCGGACACGGCCGGCCCGAGGTAGAAGGTCGAGGTCGGTTCTGGGCGGGTGCACCAATGTTCTTCGTGCTTGTCGGGTGTTTCTCGTGCACCCTGGGAGACGGCACTCGGGGGTTCTTCGGGTTGGCCGGCGGAGGGCGTCGTGTTCTCGAAGGATGCTTTTTTGTCCCAGGTCTGGCCGTGCGTCCTCCAGAGTCGCCTGATCTCAGAGATCTCCGCTTTGTCCCGGTCCGATCTTGTCCCAGTTTTGGCTCTGTTCCAGCATGCCGTCGGGAATTCTGGCTTACCGTGTTGCGCCGCCAGTCCCGGCGGACCACGCCTGGGCGCGACAGGCTATGCACGTCCTGGTCCCCGAGCGTCAACGGTCCGAGCGTTTCCCAGGCTCCCACCCCGCGGGGCGGAGCGACACGCCATCCTCGGGCAGGGTGTGGCGTGTCGCTGGGGCCGCCGCGGCGACACGCGAAGCAAACATTTCTTGACAGCAGATGTGGACTTGCGCGGTGCTTGCGGCGATCGCCGCGGCGCCCCGAGGCGCGCGTGTCTTCGCGCCCTGCGGCGCTTCGGTCTTCTGCTTCAGCGCGAAGACCGCCCGGCAGATCTGCTGCCTGCAGCCCGCGCACGGCTCGCGCGTCACGGCCGTGTGCGCAGGGCACCTCCGCCCTCAACGGCAGTCGGGGTCGTCGCCGTGGCGGTCGTCACCGTCGATGGCGGTCGTCGCTGTTGTCGTCGATGTCGGAGCAGCAGCAGGGTTGTCGCCCGAGGGCGGTCGTCGTCGCCGTCCGTTGCGTGAGGGTCGTTGACGTCGTCGTCGTCGTGAGCGAGGTGTTCGATAGCGTCGTCGTCATCGTCGTTGTCGCCGTCGTCGTCGTCGTCGTCGTCTTTGTCGGGGTGTCGTCGTCGTTGTAGACGGAGGAGGAGGAGTAGGAGGAGGATGGTTTTGGATGAGGAGCAATTATATGTATGTATGTGTGTGTGTGTGAGTGTTCTTCCCACGGGGTGGTTGCGCTCGACTTCTTTGGGGTTTCAAGTTTGTGCTTCCCTCCCACACAAGAGCAACCCATCGGCGCGCCAGAGGACGAGGAGACGTGTGTGTGTGTGTGTCTGTGTGTATATTTTCATGCCTTTTGTCGCGCCTTGTCTTCTTCTGCCTTTCTGCCTCAGTCCGCCTGTTTGTGTTCAGCCAGCTCTCCTACTTGCACGGCCGCAACGGCTTGGACGTGCGTTTTCTCCGTTATTTTCTTTAAGTGTCTGCCACCATCCAGGCCAGCCATCCACTTGCTACGCCAGGTGGAAATTCTCTATAGCGTGTCCCGGCTTTCCGCTTCGCGACAGTGTCGCCACCTCGCCGCTAGAGGACACCAAGTATGTGTGTGTGTGTGTGTGTGTTCCTCGGGTTCCCCGATCTTTGGACGTCCGTGTGGATTCACTCCCCTGCAGGGTGCGACGCGAAAGTATGCGCGCGTTCGCGCGATTATGAAGAACCTGGTGATGCTTCGGGCTGCGCACAGAGCCCCCCAGGTAATCCCAGAGGGCCCCAACAGACCCCCGAGTAGTCCCAGCTGGCCGCAACAGCACCCCCCCGAGTAGTCCAGGGTGGTCTTAGCATTGCAACTCTGCGGCGGCCGCCAGAGGCGTCGCCGCGGACTAGCCAGGGGCCCTGTTGAGGCCAGCAAGGACTACTTGCGGGGCGGGTTGCGGCCATCCGAGATTACTTGGACGGGCTGTTCGTGCGCAACCCGAAGCCTTGCCAGAAGCACCTGCGGGCCCTCGCCCGCGTTTCCGGCGAAGCAGACAAAGACGCGAGATTGCAGCCAGCCAGCCAGCCGACGCTGTCGCCGCCCCTGGCGGGGGTGGGCTGTCGGCGATGGCGTGCGCGGTCCGGCGCGCACTCGCTTGCGCCAGCGCGGCCGCCTGCTGGCTGCGCCGCGTGGGTTTTGGGCCGATCTGCAGCCCGTCCTGGCACTCGACGACCCCGACAGATTGATCGCCGTCTGTTGCAATGCGTGCCCGGGACACTATCTGGCCACGCGTGCAATTTCTTTCTTGCATGTGCGTCGGTAGCGAGCGGCATCATGGGGTGCTGGCTAGGAGGATCGAACACGCGGACGCCGACCCTCTGCTGAGGTGCTGCTACCACAGGGTTCGACGCGTCGACACAAATATTACAAAAGTGCCGCCACCTCCTTTCCCGCCGCCCCGGAAGAGCAAGATCGCACGTGTATTTTGATGGATGGTTGCTGGAAGAAGGGCAGCAAGCATGAGGGGGATATCTTGTAGTATGAGCAGGAAGTTCTAGGAACAAACTCTCCAGCAGCGCGGGCTGGAAGGCAAGACAGAGGTCTACCACGTCTTCTGGCAGCTGCTGGAGATCGCAGCCTTGTTGGAGAGCGCGGAACGCTGCTTGCTCGACAATTCTGTTCTAATCTTCGTCTCTGCATTTGTCAAGGACACCGACGGCGAGACTCAGCTGAAGATCAGAGCCTCCCTGGAGCGGACAGGGTACTGGGACATACTCAAGATTCGCTTTGTTCCGCCTCCTGCTCCCGAGCTGCGGGACGCAGAGCGCGGGGGCTATTTCGAGGAGGAGCAGGGTGCCCTGGAGTTGCCGGAGAGGCTTCAGACCTGCGGCCGAGGCATGCTCGTCGGCAAGCTTCTGCCAGGCGGCTGCTCTGCTCGAGTTCCCCGAGGGCCGTATGCCGCTGCACAGGGTCAGCTTAGACTTTCAGTCGGCGCGGATTAGTAGGTCGACCCTGCCAAATCAAGGGTACTCTTGTGTCCTGTGCATCGCGCGTCGTGTCCTCTGCAGCCCAGGGGCAAGGTATCCTTGCGTCCTGTGGTTTTTGAGGCCATGTTGCCGTCGGAAGAGTCTTGTGCCCTGTCGCGTGTCCTGTGCGCAACGTTCCGCCTGTAGAGGGCCTGGGACCCCCGCCGCCTGCGGGAGCCTCGCTGCGGGAGTCGCAGTCGGCGTTCTTGGAAGTCCTGGCAGCCGGGAGCGCCTCGCACGCCCCGAGGACCGCCCGCCTTGGCCCGGCAGCGATCGCCCCATAGAGCCCTCGCGGCAGCGGAGCCCGTGGGCGAGGTGCCGGCGGACCGGGACGGCGTCCGCGACTGGCGGTCGGCGCTGGAGGCCGTTTTTCGTCAGGCTCGGGCGTGACCTGTCGCCGGAGTGACCTCTGGTGCGGGCAGACCTCGAGGTGGGTCCCCAGCTGGCCGAAAACGAAGCAGGAGCAACGGCTTGCGCGCCCAGGTTTGGTCCCCACGCGGCTCCCCCCAAAAGCCGCGCACCAAAGGTCACTCTTACCCAGGGTCACTCTTGCGTGTAGCCGATCCCTGAGTAGCCCCCCCACCCCCCCCGGCTCTCCCCCCTCCTCCTCCCAGGGTCACTCTTGCGTGTAGCCGATCCCTGAGTAGCCCCCCCACCCCCCCCGGCTCTCCCCCCTCCTCCTCCGCCTGTCCAGACGGCGCTGGTCCGACAAGGCGTGCAGGTGACTCGCAGCTTGCGTGGAGTCCACATCTCCTTTCGGCCCTCGCCACGCCCCCCCCCCCCCACGCCCCCCCCTCCATGCAAGGCAAGAATCCGCGGCGGGGATGATATCCATGACCACGGCCTGGGGCTTCGATCTTCGCAGACCTTCGCAGGCGGTGGATATTGATATTTTCGGCCGCCCGGGTGCCAACATATGTCCATATCCACCGCCCGCTGGGGCACCAGGGCGTCGGTCCCCAGGCGGTGGATCTGGATAGACCCCCGCCTCGCAAAGAAAACTTGCCAGAGACCAGAGGGAGCACGCCTCCCGGCGGTCGATGCTGCAGCTCCGGGCCGTAGGCCGGCCGACGGTCGCAGGGCTCCAGGAGACGGCGGCGTGGGCCCCGGAGGCCTTCGCGGCGACGCCCAACCCGCCAGAGGGCCCTGCGAGAGACGAGTTCCCTGTCGTCGTCATGTCGGACACTGGAGCACATGCAGGACCAGTGGCGGGCCGTTTTTCAATCCTACGACTTTTCGAGGGTTGGGGACGACGCTGCGGTGGCGTGGTGTATACTTCTCCCCCGTCTTCCAAGGGAAACAAAGAAACATGTATACACCAGGATCCCGTATACACCAGGATCCGCGTTCCTGTGCGAATTCCAGCGCAGGGTCGGAAAAAGCGTCGGTGTATAGAGCTCGTTTCCCTATCGTGGTCATGGGTGGGGGTCCTGCGCGCTCGCTTCGCACGGAAGCGTCGCCTCCACTCGCGGTGCCGTGGCCGAGAAGTCCGGCGCGCACAGTTGGGAGGTCGGCCTCGCGCTGCCCCGCGGGCGGCTCCTGACCGAAGCAGACGATTTGCGTTTGTTGCTTGAGCGCCGCGGTTGGACGCCTCAGATTCCTCAGCCGATCGCACGGTGCGGGGAGCTCTGGAAATGGCTCCTTCACTAACCAGCGGCGGTGGGCTTCCGACCGAGCGTCGACCCTTCAAGAGCGCGACGTCTCGCTTGGGCGCCTGTCTTGAAGTTTCAGCGCTCTCGCAGTGGACGCGGAAGGAAGAGACGCTAAGCAGAGGCTGCGCCAGCGCACGTGCACCGCGCTGTGGAGCTTCCTGGTGCAGTTCTCGAGACACAGTGCGATTCGAGTGCCTTTCGGATAACCACTCCTCCGTGAGCTCCCAGTAAGCTGTCTCAGTATCCCTAGCCCCCGGCTCATTCGCCAGGCTGCACCCACGAGGCTGGCACAGCGTTTGCCCACGGTATTGCCTGAAAATTGGCCCTGGCGTCTCAGGTTCACAATGCCAGCACGAGTAATTCTCCTGCCTGCCGCCCCCCTCGCCCCCCCTCCGACCAACATCCACCCTAAACCGACCTGACGCGGCCGCCAACGTCGACCGACGACGCCGCCAACGACGACGATGATGACGATGGCGATGACGGCATCGACGACGTCGATGCCGCCGCTAACGCCGAGGGCGGCGGCGACGCAGACGACGACGATGACGGCGACGACGGTGACGACGACGCCGACGGCGCACACGACGCCGACGAGGACGCCGACGATGTCGTCGACGACGACGGCGCCAGCGCCGACGCCCGCATGCCCCGTGAGGAACCTAGAGGTCCGAGAAGGGTCAACAAGCGCACTGAACAAAAGACCGATCCTCGAACCCCGATCCGACGAAGATGCCGACGACGACGTCGCCGACGCCGCCGTCGGCGGCCTGGCCGCAATCCGCCGCGAAGGCCTCGCTGCTCGGCGAAGGGGTGCTCGGAGCCCCTGGTCAGCGGCTCGGCCAGTGGCGAGGTGCGCGTCTGGGACGCGAAGGCGGCGGCGCTGCTGGGACCCGCCCGCCTGCAGCGTCGCCAGCGTGGTCGTCGGCGTCGTCGGCGTCGTCTGCGTTAGCGGCGGCGTCGGCGTCGTTGTTGACGCTGGCGTCCTTATCGGCAATGGCATCTGCGATGGCGTCGTCGCCGTTTTCGCCGTCGGGTGCCGAAGGAGGAGGAGGAGGAGGAGGAGGAGGCGCATTATCTTGCACAGGACCGTTTGGGGCGTGCAATTTTCAGTCAAGGAGCTTGCACGCTCTATGTCAGCCCCATCCTGGAGGGCATGACAAAACTTCACAAACTTAGGCAATTACCTCAAGAACCAAGACAGGTGTGGGTATCAGTATTTGTATCAAGAACGACCTTCGGAGACAATTGTGTGGACAGACGCCGACTATGCAGGGTGCAGTAATAACGTAAATCAGTACGTTGAAAAGGATCAGTTTTGTGGGGATCAGATTTGATAAAGCCGTGGAGTTCGATACAGGTTGTCGTGGCACTCTCTTTTGGAAAGCAGAGTATCACGACATGGTGAGGGGTGGAACAGAAGCGTTAGGACAACAAGCAGTTCCCATCGACTTCAGCGTTGCCTGCGGTATCGCGGTAAAGAGCGACTCTAGCGCGGTTATTGCCACTGAAAGTTGGCGAGGGCTAGGACACATCAGACACATCGACGTTTGTCTTTTCTGTTAGATAACAAAGTGCGACGAGGACACATCAAAGTCATCACATTCGGAACCCGTGAGAACCTCGCACATGCTTTGACCAAATATTTGTGCAGGGATGACATATCCATGCACGTGCGCGATACCCATCAACATCTTGCCGGCGCAAGACACGGCCTGGCACATGCTACGGTGTTTTGACCAATTATACATTTAGCGTTGTTGCTGTCGCGTGCCACTCTGCCAGTGACTTGAGCTCGGGGTCGGTCGAGAACCGGGTGCCCGTCTACACGTACACACAGACACACTGATTCATATATGAATCATTCTGCGCACCGCGGCACTTTGCGTGTGAGGAGGCCCGTTCGCATGTATGCCCACATCTTGGTCGCCGCTTTGCTTGTGCCACTTGCGCACGTGCTTCAGTTCACATATAGTTGCCGTGCTGGGTTGTGGACCCGTTTCTTGACTGTTCACACATGTGCGAGCTATTCGTTTAGAACGCATACATTACCCAATCGCTTCAGCGCTTTACAGTTGACCCGTCCCCACATCCAGCTTATCAGCCGAGGGGGTTATCAGATTGTAGCGTTCCGACTGCGTGAGCAGGACCGGCCCTAAGCCAAAACTGTGAGCTAGGAGTTCCAATGGTGTCCGCTAGCTGTGGGCCGCAACTGTTTGGCTCTATTGCTTAGTCTTATCTGCAAGGGGAGGACGGACACGTTCTAGAGGATTCCTGGGGTTGGATTGGGTTTTCCGTTGTGTTGCGGGGGCTTTGGGGGGACATGAAGAGACTGCATGAGGCATGGGGGAGGCAAAGCAGACGTGTCCAGCACTGCTCTGCGGTTTTGGTGGCCCTGGAGGGAAGCTCGGGCGAATTCGGCAAATGTTCTTGCGTTCCGCCTACGTGCTCCCTTCAGTATGCACGGATCGGTTTTGTGGGAGTGAGCTGCGGGTCAAGTCCGTGGGGTGAGCACGGAGGAGGAGGAGGAGGAGGAGGAGGGGCACGCACGAGGATGATGATGAGGAGGAGGAGGAAGAGGAGGATGAGGAGGAGGAGGAGGAGGAGGAGGAGGAAGGGGGGGCGAAGGAGGGAAAACACAACCAGCGCGCATCACCTCGCGCCACCCCGCCCAGAGCCCCCGACACACAGGCCGACGCAGGGATTGCCCTCACTGCCGCGAGGGCCCGATGGCAACATGAAGTCCTCCTGGGCCTGGAGGGGGGTGAGGAGTGGACCAGGGGGGATCCTGAGGAGGACGAGGAGGAGGAGGAGGAGGAGGAGGAGGAGGAGGAGGAGGGTGGAACACAAGAGGAGGCGCAGGATATTAGTAATGATGAGGGAGAACGAGCGGAATACAGATAACGCTGCTCATGATGGTGTTGCGGTTGCAGGTGATGATGATCGCCAAGGCGAGTAGCATGATCAATCTCATGATGATGAGGATGCTGCTGGCGATGCTGCCGGCTGTAGCGATGGCGAGGGCCATGGCGATGTTGGTGCGTTGGTGCTGATTCGGGTGATTGAGACGATGCTTATGATGGTGGTGATGATAGTGATGATGATGATGATGATGATGATGATGATGTTGATTAAGACGATGACGATGTCGATATCGATTGCGATAATGATGATGATGATGTGCACGATGGTGGCAATGATGGTGATGCAGAGGCTGATCATGATGATGATGATGATGACGATGCTGATGATGGGGATGATAGTGCTGGTGCTGATGATGATGATGATGATGATGATGATGATGATGATGATGATGATGACGATGCCGCGGACGACGCTGGTTATGGTAGGAGCGTGAAAACGAAGGTGAGGATGGCGGTGATGATGCTGATGGTGCTGTTTATGATGATGGCGATGATGATGGCGATGATGATGGTGTGGCGATGATGATGCTTCTGACGGCGATGCCGATGATGATGACGGGGCCGACGGCGATGCTGATACTGATGATGCTGATGGTGATGGTGGTGGTGATGATGGTGATGGTGCTGATGATGATGATGATGATGATGATGATGATGATGATGATGACAATGCTGCGGACGACGCTGATTCTGATGAGGTATGGCAATGCGTATGATGGTGATTCCGATGATGCGTATGCTGATGCTGATGATGGTGCTGATGCTGATGATGATGACGACGACGATGATGATGATGATGATGATGATGCTGATGATCATGGCGCTGATGATGCAGATGCTGATGCTGCTGGTAACGATGCTGATTAGGCTGATGACGATGATGCTGCTGATGATGATGACGATGATGATGATGATGATGCTCATAATCATGATGCCGAGGCTGATCATGGGAAGGAGGATGAGGAGGCCGATGATGATTATCACAACTAAGAGGTGGATGGGGAGCACTTTCATGGTTCAGGAGGAGGAGTGGGGGAGGAGGAGGAGGAGGAGGAGGAGGAGGAGGAGGAGGAGGAGGAGGAGGAGGAGGAGGAGAGGGAGGTGGATGACGGAGGAGGAGCAGGTCGACCGGGGCACGCTTGCGTTGCCCTCACACACGGAAAGGTGTGTCTGTGTGTATATATATATATATATATGTGCGGTAATGGCATGGGCGGGGGGAGAAGGGATGGGGACGAGGGGAGGGAGGGGAGGCACAAGGATAATACAGGACAGCCCCAAATGGAGACTGTTCGCAAGTCAGGGGTTTCCTGAGCCAACGAGCGCGACGAGCTTAACAGGAATGACGACGGACTTTTGCATGCCGCTAAAGAGAGGACGCGCCGAGGTGGACGAGTAGGGTGGTGGGCGGGGGTAGAGGGGCGTTGGGTGCGAGAGGGTGGAGGAAGGGTGGAGGGAAGAGGAAGAGAGGGGACGATACAGAGAAGATTAGCATGGCCCCTGCGCAAGGATCAGATAACACGCGCAAGCCGAGAAGTGTATGCAATGTTGTCCGAGCTTCGTGCGAGGAGGAGAGGTCACGAGCGGTTGGAGAAGGAGGGGCGGAAGAGGGAGGACCGAGCACGAAAACAGTGCATACTTGTAGATTTGTCAACGGCCCGCGCGGATTACAGGGATCTGCGATGGACCCCTTCTGGCGGCACCTCCAGCGCTGCTTTTGGCGCGCTCCGCGAGCCAGGGAGTGGGGTCCAGCACAGATCGCAGAAATCCGCGCGGACCGTCGAAAGTTTACACACGTTCCCTAAGCAGTGCTTGCGCTTCGGGGTCCGCACTTCTGAAGGAGCTGGGCCTGATTGTCGGTCTGGCGGCTATGTTGTCGCCGTCGCCGCCCCGTCGCCGCCTCGTCGCCGCCCGTCATCTGGGCCAGATTGTCGATCTGACGGGTATGTTGTCGCCGTCGCCACCCCGTCGCCGCCTGGTCGCCACCCGTCGTCTTGGTCCGATTGTGGGCCTGGCGGCAAGGTGGTCGCCGTCGCCACCCCGTCGCCGTTTGCATTGCACAGCGTCGGTTGCACTGCGTATGCTTTTCCTTCTAAGCGTGTAATAGGATCTACCCTCCCCCGGAATTGACGTGACCCCTCCGCGCATTGCAATACATGCGGCTATGCCCCATCGTCCATCCTAAATATAAGCCCGTACCATCCCAGGCAGGCTGGTAGCCCCCCCCATACCTTACAACAAATACTATGCGCGCGCACTCGTTTATCACAAATCAGCAGTGTCCAAGAATCGTTTGCAAAGAACGAGACGAAGTGCACACGCGCGCGTCGTCGCGCGCGCATGCCGGCATCGACCATAATCCTTTAGCTTCGCACGGGTTCCCAATTCGAGAGCATCGAACACATATCAAGAACACGCGGTTTCGCAACGATGATGTTCTTAAGAAGCTTGCGCTCGCGCTCCTGCGTTTTTGGGGAAACCATCGTTTTCCTCAACAGCTTCACAACATGCTACCACACGGCCCTCTCGCCGACGCATGCCGAAATCGTTCGAACGCCCTTGTGCGCCGGCTGTCTCAAGAACTCCTTGTAGACAATGGGACGAAGTGCGCGCGCGTCATCGCACGCGCATGCCGGTATCTTTCCAAAAACGTTGGTCGTCGTGGGGGATTCAATATCGAGTGCCCCGAAAACAAATACAGCATATGCTTTTGCACCGTACGTTTTCAAAAATGCTTGCGCTCGCGCTCCTGCGAGTTCTTAATGACAGCATGTGTTCCACATATCCATTTAAACCTGCCAAGCGTGCCGTGTCAAATCATACCATGCGGGCCATTATCGCGCGTCGTCTGCGCGTGCATGTCGGAGTGCTTCCATAAACTTCATCACCGATGCGAAGGCGCCGTCGTCGTCGTCGGAGTGATCAGCATCGGCGCCGTCACTGACCTTGCCGGCGTCGTTGCCATA